TGGTTCTTCAGTCAAAATAGTCAGCTTAGTTATGGACTGACGCTGTTTAAATGAAGCACGTGAAAGCTGTCTGGAACTCCGCCTTACAATTAAGTGACGACTTCACCAAGAACGTCTCGCAGCTACTGCTTGAGGAGCAGTGCTCGAGGCCCAAGAAACTGGCGGAGCCTTGTCTCAGAAAGCAGCAATCAACAAACTTGTCTTATCTCTTGTTTTTGTGTTTTGTTTTGTATTTGTTTTGTTTTTTGTTTTTTGTGCCAAAGTCATTTCGAAATGTTATCATAGGGATGAAAGTACCATTTCAAATTCTGGAAATTGTTATTGGCTTAATAGGTTTTAGTATGAGTTGTTTGTATAAGTTGTTATTGATATTAATAAGTGACTAAATATCTATAGCACTTTTCATTTCAATGTCGAAAGTAATTCAGAACTGAAGACACACTCAGTTGAAAACTGCTCTACCTTAATGCACGCTTAAAGTAAGGCTAGATGGTTTATTGCTAGTGTTAGTAACAGTGTTGTCAATAGATCAATACAGCGAGATGCAAACGAATCAAGCACCCTCATTGAGTAAACCAATGTTTTTTTTGTTTTTTGTTTGCTTAACTGTTTGACGCATATAAAATGCTATGTTAAGGTCCATGTGTTGAAGCCCGCGGCGAAAAACATATCAGTTATTATCCTTCTTTATAGCCATGAATTGTTGTTAATGTTTGAGTAGAACGCTTTCCAATAAAGAATAGAAAACAATTAATAAAATTGACAGTCACATCAGTGGTCGTCACTCAATTATTTCTCCTTCCCAAACGGAGTCGTGATGGTTTCAGTTCAGTACGTATTTGCTAGAATTGAAGGGTAAAATTATTTACGTTCGGTTGAGCGAAGCGAATTAGAACGTAAATTGCATCCAAATGCTACAGTCAGTACAATTTACGGTATTTCGGAAATACCGTAAACTGCCGCTTATACATGTAAGCCCTGGAGCCCGTTTCTTGAAGGTCTCGGAGCGTTTTCGCATCCGAAAAGCCGTAGCAAAATCTCAAACCTTATGACTTCAGAGTTGATCTATGCACACATTCTTAATATAGACAGAGGTTCTCTTCATACAAGACGTTTCAGCATCTACCTCTCTCTTTCTTTAAATACCGATTAACTAAAAATGGCTTTGCGGGCCCGAAAAGCTCCCGGGTCTTTCGAGAGACGGGCTCCTGGTGGGCTAATACACTGACTTCCTAAGGGCTTTTAGATGGGCTTCTAAACGGAGGGGCTTATGTCCGAGGGTCTTATAACCGGACTAAAAAACCTTTTCGAAACGAGCTTCGGCTGCACGTGTTGATCGAAATAGGCTTTTTATTTACTGGTAATTAAGCTTTAAAGCATCATAATAAAACGAATCCACAAGAAGGAAAGCTAGAGGGGGGCTTATATCCTGTGGTCTTATAACCGGATGTATTATTTGGTTTACAGGAAGATGGGCCTATAACCAGAGGGGCGTAAAAGCGGCAGTTACGCTTAGGAGATAGAAAAATTGGGTCGATAAGGGAGGACTTCATTTACTTCTAGTTTTGACATAAAGATTTAAGCGAGTACTGGAGATAATGATGACCCCATCCGTCTGATCTATTTGCTTGAATAAACGGTCGTTATAAACAGAATCGAATGATCTTGGTACCGTTGTTGAGAAGGCATTTCTTTTCAGTCTCGTAGTTGTCGTCTGGTAACAAGTCTGAATTTTTTTTTCTGTGGCCTTCGAAATTACAGGCGAACTACTGATTCAGTTCTGTTTGGGCTTCTGGAAGAAACTTCTCAGTCCTAACAGAGAGCATTACAAATAATCAGGTGATGTGAAACGCATGATCGATTCTCGGTGACGGTGACACCTGTTAATGCACCTCGGGGAGGGGTGGCGAATGGTCCTTTAAAAACCCATGGTCTCGCAGTCTCGTTTTCTAGCGGTTATGTGCGTCTCGCAGTCTAAATTTTTCTCACAAGGCTGTCTCGCAGTGTCTATTTTTACGAAAGTCGTTAAGTAACGATTTTTTTATTTTTTTTATAAAGTTAAATGACATCACAACATCTTAGAACCTGAACGTCTTGAGTTGGCATTTAAAATACTTTTAAGTCTCGGCCTCGCAATTGAAGAAATCAAAATGTCTCGGGCTCGCAAAGAAAAACGCTTATCTTGTCGTCTCGCAAAGTCTCGCATTTACCATTCGCCACCCCTTCAGGGCATTAACTACCCTAAAAGGTGCCATTAGTGTTTCCGAGATTTCATTCATGTTTCAAGAAACATGGTGTAGAATTAATTACCTACATGTGAAATGCGCCAACAAATGTGGATGTTTTTAGCACATGTACTTCTATCCAACGCAGCGTTTGCTGGCATCCCGTTATGGCTCGACAAAGATCCTTTTAACCTTTGGCAGCAGAGACTAGTTAATCGTAATCTTGAGCAACTGAGTGTCACTGAAGAGACTAGTGACAGGGCCAGCTATAATTATGGCCAAAACACATTTCGCGTCTGGAAGTTTTTCATTAAGTGCTGAGAGGAGAGAATACCGCAATAATTGTCGTTGGAGGATCGAACTCGGCTGGAGGAGGAATCTCAGATCATAGACAACTTTATTACCAGCTCTTCCTTCATTGGTGGAATTATCTGATTTTACCGTACACTGGTTCCAAACTTGCCATTAAAAATTTGTCCCTCGGAGAACTGGAACCGACTTCTTCAGCCTATGTTTAAAAAACTATCTAACAAAGACTAAAGAACCCGACATAGTGCTAATCGAGCTGTCAGTCAATGATTACGGGTA